TATGTTTAAGAGTACTTGGTACTTGGTGTAACGGGCTGGTATGCGCAACTCGACGTCAATGCGCCTATTTTGCGTGTAAAAATATTTAAAAGTATCGTATTTATTCAAATTGTATTCTAGATAATATACAAACAAGTTACATAAAACATAAAAATTTTGTTTTCTAAGTGTTCATTAATAGACAAAACAACTTATTGTAGTTGTTAACCATTAAGCTACTTACCTTGCTAAAATACCTATATTTCAACTGCGTTATAGATATCTAGTTTAGTAGCAGTAGAGATCCTTGTGAAAGAGTTCATTGAGACCACCTTACCTATTTCTGCCGTCAAGTAGTAACGTGGGCATTACTGCGTTCCGGTTATGAAAGGTGCTTGATGTTGCTTCCTCTTATATTTATTTACATGTACTTTTTGATGGTGTGCTGCTGGCTGGGCTTGCTGCAGTGGCAGGTTGCACAGCAAATCAAAAGTTGCAGCCAATCGCCGTACAAAAAAACTCAAAGTTTCGCGGCCTTGCCATTTAGAAGATATTTCTTATTTAGCACAAAACACTGAAACTTTTCTGACTTTGTAGGACCAATGTTCGGAGCCTTACGTGAAGTGTAGTTTTAATAAAAAATAAGCTATTTTCCACTGGTTTAATACGTTTATTGTCCTTGGTACTGTCCCTATCTACCGACCTGAGAGATAGGGAGTTCTAGGGAGACTACGGGCTCCCTATATCTCGGGTAAGACCAAGGTACGGCGGGCGTCCGAACCGAGCCCTCCGCCAGTAATACCCTTCACGTGCGTCTCTGGCGTACCCGAACTTGAGTATGGACTCGCCGAGGTTTGTGGTTAGCTGCAGGGATGAACAAGTTCATCTGCCCCGGTAGCAAGTGGCCGAGGCGTTCGTCTCGCGCGCAGTTAGCGCGTCTTAGTAGTGGTCTAGACTAGGGTTGGAGGTAGGAGACGCTCGGGGCACGTTGCCCTTTAAGTCGTTAGCTATGTCCGGATATTGTCGTAGGACACTGCAACCGGCATCTCCGGCACTGGCCCGGAGAGCTAGACATCCTCCGGTCCCTCGCGCGTAGAAAGGCGCGTAGAAATTTGGGAACAGGAGAGACGCCGTTTTTCGACGTCGGGAAGTGAGCGTGCCTTACCGCAGCAACAGACATCCGCTACCAAAGAGGACATTTGTTACTCGGCATAGAGTCGACAGCTCTTCGGTAGTGACCGTTAGTTGCGCAGAAGTGAGGTTGCCTACAGCTCCGGTACCTATATGGAAAATAGGAAGGGTGCTGTACGTACCCGGGGCGGCTCACCTAAGGCACTAACCGTACCGAGAACTGGATGAAAGCCGTGCAAACGGGCTGATCTAGTGTAAGGACCTGACTTAGATGGTCCCTGCGCAGGTGATAGTGCCCTTCTCGTACCCTAAAGGTCGGTAGAGAGGGTCACTATAATCAAAACTAATGTAGAAAGGGGCTGTATTGTCTTGTCTTGGTACGGGGTACATACATTACGTGGTACAATTGAACGTTGGAAGAAGAAGGTAGGGTTACCATATTTTTATATTAAAATATTTATGTTGCCAACAGCAGTACACCTCAGATCTTTGCGATTTAATGCTCTGATTGGCACCGCAACTGTCATAGACAGGCGTGTCCGCCAGGCACACGACTTGTTCATCCCGTCGTTTGATATTATGAAACAAATTTATCTAAAAATCGATTAATATATTTTTCGAATCTGAACGCATGTGGACTTAGAAACCATATGTGTAAAATTTTAAAGCCATAACAAATAAACAGATTATAGTAAGTAGTGCAGCAATAAAAAAACAAAGAATAGGAAATCCCAGTAAACATAAAATTTTCCCCAGTGTCAGAATAATCGCAAACAATTCACTAACAACTAAGATGTTGTACCACCCCCAAAGATACATAGCGCTAAAAGTACTGATGGCAAAAACAAATAGATCATTTGTACGAAAATAAACAATATATGATTACTGAGTAGTCAGTAGGTTCAACTCCCATTGTTGCTTTTATATGATAAAGTTTCGACGAATGCAATATAAAATATCATACCAAGTTATATAAATAGGTCTGCGTATTTTTTTATGACACTAAGTGACGGGACGTACAAGTCGTGCACCTGATGGTAAGCGACATGCCTAGGCATAACAGTTGCAGTGCCGTTCAGAGCTTTAAATCGCAAAGATCTTCGGTGCACTGCCACTTCGCCCGTCAACCTGAGACATAAGGTGTACCCTTCAAAACCGAAACCGAAACACAATAATGCTAACATTACCTGTTTGGCGGCAGAAATAGGTAAGGTGCCAGTACTTGTTTTGGACGAATTCTTTCACAAGGAGCTGCTATAATATGCGTATGATACCTACTCTTTGACGTTAATGTATAATAACGAGGGAAATGATGCGTGGGTTGTTTTTGTGTTTGGGTGTTTCTTTGTTGTATTTGAATGTTGCATTGTACGTATGTGTTTATATATTGTTGTGTTCATTGCAACCATCATAAATGCAACAAATCATTGATATTACAAAAGTCACTTTCTGAAATCCAGGTCCTTAATGTACAGTTAACTTGTAACATCAGGTAATGTAATTCATAGATGGTGGAGGACATCAGGCATCACCGCTCTACCCTCAGGATGTGTGTGGCTTTAAGCCAAACACATCCTGAGGGTAGAGCGGTTAGAGTCCCGCCACAACATATATTTTATTTCTTTTGTGGTGAGCGTTTGGAGGAGTTTTGGCCGAAGGGTGTTGTCTAGCGGCGATTCCGAGGTCGGTTACCAGACACCATATTGCATCACACGTCGCCTACAAGTGCAATTCGTGTAAATCAGTTATTTAGTTTATTATATTATATTAATATTTTTATATTATCTTATGTTTTATTACGTGTATGTCAGTATTTAACGTATATATTATATGGATCATAGGTACCTGATTTAAATAAAATATAAAATATAATTGCTTACTCGTTATTTGTTTGCCAACCATACTAAACTTATCTGTTTTGCCCAACTAATTTCCACTGGGAAAACCGACATTACTATCTAACAAGGTGTCATTATTATACTAAAGCAAACAATACCAACTATAAAGACACATGCAAAACAGCAAAATACATTAAGACGATCTGTGAGCTCGCAACGAACGAATTACATCGATATCACTTAAAATCTATTAAGCATGGTTTCCAACGTCCTTCTTGCTCTTTGCGTTGTGGTAAGTTCTAAAATAACATTACAAAGATCAGAACCAAATGTTGAGTAGATAGTTGCAAAATGTTGCAGCACCATTTTCATAAAAAGACACATTTGCAAAAAAATAAATAAAACATTTGCGAACAAAGTTTCACGTCCGTTAAGAACATTCTCGATTAAGCAGTTAATACAATTTTGTGATTTTACAGGTGGCAGTAGCAGCAGCGCTACCCGGCGCCGCCGGTCCCCCTGGAGCTCCCGGAGGTCTTAACCCATGGATTCCCCCATGGCTGGCGTCCGCCCCTTGGTTCCCCCAGTGGACCCCATGCACAGCTATTGGCTCCACTTGTTTGGACTGCACTACGAGGCTGGTGTGCACTAAAATTGGCGGTCTGCAACGTGCTTGCACTGATCCCACTCTTCCCTACTGCAATCTTGGCGCATGCTCAGCGACTCCTTCTGCTGAGTGCGCCGCTCCTGCGGTGAATGCCTAAACTATTCATCTGATGTCTAGATTTACAACTTTATTCAGATTTGAAAATGGACGTAGTTATACGGAAATAATCCAACACACCATGACAATGACCTTCCGTGGGGTTGGATCGTTTGTACATAGGCGTCCAATTGCTTTACCTTCCAGTATCATTTTCTGTAACTTTTGACTCTTCTGTAGCCCAACAAATAAACTTAGCATACTTTAGATGAATATTAATCATCTTTTTTAATACCTTAATCTAAAATAACTACTTGATTAAGTGATATTTATTATTTACCTTAGGACTGTAAGATGCTCAATAAACAGTTTAAATATTAATCTAAACAATATTATCTGCTTTTATACATTTTTACTGTCGTCAAATATATATAGAAATCACACTAATAATTTTCCAATATTATTTCAACATATTACTCACGTTTGTTTGCGAATGTCGTTCACGACTTTTTTGTCGTTACGAGGACAGACTGTCGTGACAATGGGAAGAATTAGAACGACTGTCGTCTGACGATAAATAAAACGTTACGATAAAAAATGTGACGACAGATAGTCGCAGCTACTATTGTCGTCACGTTTTATTTATCGTTGTCTGCACGTGTTCTGCTCTCTACTCTCCCCTGTCGTACCCCGCGTCCTCGGCTCGCTTCGCTAGCGTTCGATCACCAGAAATGGGCAAGCGCCCGGGTTTTAACCTGAAGCATTATGAACGCCGGGTTTAAATCGTAACCTTATTTAATTTTAACCCCATTAATGCCTGAAATCGAGGGCAAAAACTATTTACAACTAAAAACTTGTTGTGAATTGAGTTTTGTTCGAATTTAATTATACATATTATTACAAAATATTAAATTCTTAAATAGTCCCAATTTTCTCTCATCACTTTTCAGTTAATCTGTAAACGTTTGACATAATCCTAATGTAATTCTTTTTCATAATATTGGATGTACTCAAAAATCTCTTTTCTTTGATTGTTTCCTCTTCCTTTCCTCGTCCTTTTTAAAAAGTAACACATTATTATAATTTCATCTTCATCCATTTCACACGGAAGCAAACACACACTACTGGCTTCCAAAAGAACATAGAAGCGACTGCAGTGCATGAAACAACTCAGTCGTGCAAACGACAAGGCGTGAAACAATAAATTGTCGTCACGATCTCGTGGGAACAGAACACGATAAAATAATCGTCCACGACACAGTCACGACAGATAGTAGTGATACGGGAACATGCTAGACGCGATAGTCGTCCTACGATAAATAAAACGTTACAACATAATGGGAACGCACCCTAAGGGTACTTTTGGCCTAGCCCTTCTTTAAGATGACCTCAATTTGGTCATAGTAAGTTCGCCTTGCCCGCTCACACTCGCTTTATAAATCTATTTATTCTATCTTCTTTCATTCATTCTCTCTACATGTCTGAACCATCTAAGCATCCCTTTCTGTCTTTGTCACTACATCTTCTACCACGCCACAATGCTCTCTTATCAGTTATCACACAACAACAGATGATAATATACTTTTTTTTTATGATATCAGGTGTCGGGACGTTGTTCGTCCCGACCCACCTTTACCCTTCAAAACCGGAACACAGTAATGCTGACATTACTGCTTGGCGGCAGAAATAGGGAAGGTGGCAGTACTACCCTGGACGAACTCTTTCACAAGGAGCTCTACTGCTACTAAATATACAGAAGATAACAGATAATAAATTTTAACAGATAATAATGTATTAAATTCCACTTCTAGCAATTGTGTTGTATACAAAGAAACAGAATACATACGATTATTATCAGCGCCGGAGCTAGGCTATGTAGCGCATCAATAATCAATAAATACGCTGATGCCCTCTAGCATCACGCGACCAAAATGGAATACTTACAGTTATATTTTCCATAGTCATCAGAAATTCAGGTGCAAGTGATGCAATAATAATAAAAATTATAAATGATGTTGGGAAGCAATAACCCGTTTACTCCGTTTGTACCGCGAGTGACACAGGCTCTTTGGAGGCGTCGCGTGCGGATTATGGTGATTTTCCACCGTCGACGCGAGACTGGACGAATCATCTCTGATTCGTTCGCAAATGTTTAGAGTGCACAAAATCAACAAAAGTATTTCATAGGTATATGATTAATATTTTACATTAATTCTCTTAAAGATCACTTGAAATTGTATACCAGCTAATTTTAGTTTTATCAAATTATGCACCTGACATTCCTTGACAAATGTAGATAAATATATTAGAGAGACATCAGTTATGTCGGGTCCAAATAATAATGTCCGCAATCAAAACTAAACCAATTGTCCTATATGTCTTCTTCCGAGTTCAATAAAGTGAACCCCAATAAACTACAAAAATACAATAAGAAACTTATAGCGAACACTGCAATATGTTTTCAACATAAAACAATAAACTTTCTATTATTGACTAGCCACTATAAGTTTCTACGCAGTAAAATCTTCTACGTGCAATGTACCTTTTCTGTAACCAATGGCATTATTATAAATATCGGTTTGCATTCAAAGGATAAACATTGATTTAAGAAATACGAATTAAGTTAACGACGCAATGGACAATGCACGGAATAGGTAATGCTGTTCAATAGTATTGTTACTTTATTGGCTATGATTTTCTTCCAATCATAAAATATTTCGTTTTAAAGCATTGACCTACCAACAAATGGGCGTCGGGTCTAATACAAAAACCATGAAAAAATGTCCAAAGTTAACCTATGCAAACGTAGTGACATATAACGAAATATAAAAAACTAAAACATTTAATTTAAATTGTGTAACGTCATTGCAGTACTGCCTAATTTTGCTTACCACAATTTTAGGACCCAAAAACACCATATTTAGCTTCTACTGGAAACTTAACAAAATGCACCATATTTAGCTTCGACTGAAAATTACTTGAACGCAAGAGTAATGTCTTTATCATGTTTTAAAATCATCTTCATCATCTAGCCATTAACTACATATATCTGCAATGAAAGGTTTAAAGCTTCTACGAATGAAATTGGTCTTTTTTTATGATACCAAGTGACGGGACGAACAAGTCGTGAGTCTGGTGGTAAATGACACGCCTATCCATAACAGTTGTAGTGCCACTCAGAGCTTTAAATCGCAAAGATCTTAGGGGCACTTCTACTGCGCCCGTCACCCTGAACCATAAGTTGACAACTCCCATGTACCTGCGATTTCACCTATAACTTTTTTAGGCTTACAGTACCGGTACGATATGATGGCGGTTTGACAGATTACAATAGTGAGGTCAAATCTCAATTCATTATCGAAAAAAACATAATCAAATGCGACTCGCATCTATAAGTTTTTAGATTTATAACTAGTACTGCAATGGGTAGCAGATTAAAAAGTTTTAATAAAACGAAAATAAAAATGTTTACTTAATATATCGTCAATTCGCTACTGCTTTGTTTTGCATTGAGCTTTGACGCGAGTTTGCCGGAGGTAGAAGTTGTGCTCGAGATCGATCCTATAAGATTTCATTTTAAAAATTTTCAAATTTCGAAGAACAAATGACGATTTGTGTCGTAAAATTCATCTATTAATTTTACTGCACGTCACTATTGATAACATCTGTATACACTTAGAATAATAACGCATAGAACATTGACTGCATAGAATGATAGTTTCATATCAAACGAACTGTCACAAGTCAGGCAAAAATCAAATTCATGTAGGCTAGTTTTAGTAGTAGGTTAATTTTAGGTTTTAGTGAATATTTATATAAAAATACAAGTTGAAACGCGTTACTTCCTTGTGGAATGTGATGTCAGTATCTATTTTGTGTTTGTCTGACGTATTTTTACACTCATTTACCGCACATTTCGTCATTTTTAGCTAAAATTCTTGATCTGTTCGCGATGCAAGTTGATCTTGAGCACTGAAGGCCCGCCCGCTCGTGCAATTTGCCTCACTTTGCGTGTGCGGACTAGGTTTCTATGCGTTATTATTCTAAGTGTATACATCTATTTGCTCCTTCAACGTCGAAACTTAATGAGCCGACAAACGTCAAAGGCCATCATAGCGTGCCGGTACTTTAAATAGGAAAGGAGTTATAAAATTTCAAAATTTGTGTCATATAGTTATATATGTATAGTACTATTTTTATGGCGTTCATATCACTCTTGACGTGTGATCACACGTGGCTTTATCAAGGGTACAACAACCACAAACTATCAGAGAATGTGTCATTTAAGTTCAATTAGGAAGAGACGAATACAACAAAATCATAACATTACCGTCTATTTTATTTGATCACGTACAAGAGAAAAAATCTTTTAGCAAAAGTAATTTAATCGTATAAGTGACAGTGTATTGATTTTATCTGCTATATGAACAAATATTGGCTCATTTAATAAAAATTCTTTCCCCAAGTTGTACGGGACGTGACGACCCAGATCAAACCCTCCTTCTGCGAGTATCTAATAATAGCAAAATCTCCATGCCACAGATTTTTATAGCATTCCTCGATGGAATTCGAAATAAAATACGTACCCAAACACGCGTGTCACATAACTAATTAAAATTTTCGCAAAGTAAATGTGCTGAAAGAAAATGAAATTGATCAAAAAACTTTTTTGTTATTTATTTATTTTGTGTTATTGTTGAGATAAATTTATGTGGCCTACATTTATTTCTCTAGTGAGTTTGGGTGTAATCTGTGGTGTTCTATGTGTGTATCCATGTCACCCGCGACACAAGGTTTCCCTAGTGCGGGGCTATGAATGTGTGCGTTATTTATATTTATTTATTTATATTACTAACATCATAAACAACGACTTGCATTCCATGACTTTTTACAAAACATAAATCTAAATAAATGCTTTCTTTTTTTGGAGCGATCTGTTTAAATATTTTTATTTTGTACGAAATGTTATTTAACATATTAGTAATATAGTCCTACGAGGTTGTTAATGTTTTACAAATAACGCTTCAAGTTCTTAGGTTTTCGCGGTTGTTATACGATGGTCTCAAGGGACTGAGATGGTAAAGTCGTCAACTAAGGTGGTTTGCATTAATATTAGACATAACTGGTTGATGACTGTACCATCTCTGTCAGCCGTGACTATAACACCTCTAAAAGATCCGAAACATTGGTTTAAAAAAACAAGTAAGTATATATAATTATACAAATATAATTATGTTTTTTTAAAGCATATATAAGAATTTATTGAAGAATGAATTTATTCACTGGCACCACCAGTTTTATTGGAAGAAACCTCCGTTCGATGTGACGTGTAGCCAGCTGTTGCAGTTTACAGAGAAATAGCCAGTACGATTCTCGTATCACGGAGTCCACCCACCCATCGACAAAATTCAGGACTGACAACAGCTGTGGCGTACAGAAACATAATCGTAAACTGTTCGAAATATTAATTACCATTTGCGCATTAAAATTGCCGCCTTTACGGCTGCGGTTATGTTACTCCGAGAACGAGATGACATTGTTCCGTTGAATAATCAGGTTTATTATAGTCGCTGTTTTTGTAGAAAAGGCAAAAGCGCCATTTAAAAAAAAAAACAGAGTAGCATGTCTCAGTTTTTCGCAAATATTTTAAAATATTTACGTCCTGTTCAAAATTCAATTTTAAATCTTAAAGTTCATTAAAACCAAAATTTTATTTTAATAATATAATCTCAGTACAGAGTACTAAAAAAACCGACCTCAAATGTACGTGAAATTACATCTATTTGCCAAGTTTTATTGAAATCGGTTACCGGAAAGTGCGCAAACCCGGATTCATCCCCTAGTTTGCCACTATACGAAACTTGACACAGGAGATAATAAAAATCGGTTCTAACTACTCAAAGTATACTGAGAGAAAAACGCCTTGAATTGGAGAATAGCAAAATCAGCCAGCCTTAGAGGTGGATGATTTTCTTCAAAATTAAATGGGACTACTATGGAGGTATCCTATTTCCAACAAAAAAGAATCATCAAAATCAGTTCACAAATACCGGTGTTATCGTAACATACTTACAAACAAAACATACAGTCAAATTGAGAACCTCCTCCTTTTTTTGAAGTCGGTTAAAAAGGTAGTTCAAACCTAAAACATGTTCCCCTTAAAAAAGTCCAAGATGGCGCTTTCGCCTAGAAAACACCGATTATATGCTGCTGATGATATTTAGCAACATCTGAAGACAAAAAAATACATTTCTAAATACTTTCGGCCTTACAACTTCTCCATTACCTTTATGTAACGGTAAATACAAAAATGAATATTTTTACACAAAGCAAGAAAACTGCGTACAATAGTTCCTTCTTATTAGAAACAAACTTCACCGGCAGTACTGCCCTTCTTATCATAACTGACATAATCGACGTTTTTTTAGCTAAATTGAGTTATAACATATTTAGAACCAGCTAAACAAGATCTACAACCCCCTCTATTCGGTTTTTTAATATCTTACTTAGTTTCAGTTTTATTGTTAAGCGAAATCAGCGCGCATACACATTCAAGAACGCACACACACTCGACATAGCCCCGCACTAGGGAAACCCTGTGTCTCGGGTGCATGGACACACACACATAGACAACCACAAATTACACCCAAACTCACGCGAGAAATAAATGTAGGCCATACAAATATTTCTCCTGGCCCGGGAATCGCATCTGGGTCCTCGGCGTGGCAGACCGGCATGGTAACTCTTCGGCCACGGAGTAGTTAAAAGTTAAGCGTAATTGACTTTTTCCAAGAAAAGAAAAAAACGTTAGGTATGTGTCGATATCCCGAAAGTTGCCAAAACGCAAATGCGTTAATTATAGAGGAGAGCAGACTAGAACTCCTTGTGAAAGAGTTCACCCAATTCAATGCCTCTCAGATCTTTGCGATTTAAAACTCTAAGCGGTACTGCAACTCATAATGGACAGGCGTGTAGCTTACCACCAGGTGCAGGGATTGTTCATCCCATCATTAAGTATAATAAAAAAACTTGAATAGATATAGCCATGTAAACATATGCATGTGTGTTCCAGAGCACGCAATTCATAAAGGCTTTCTACTTATACAAAGACATTTAACGCAACTGCACAAGTAGAATATAGGTACTATATAATATAGTTACTTATGTATGTACTGTTCCACTGAGCACAAACAAAACAATAAACAGACTTTGTCGGTAATTTTCCAGGAAACAAAGAAACTTAACTACTTGCTACCAGAAACGCAGCAGAAAAACAACACCATGCAACAAATTTTCAAAAAGGTTCTCTTTCTGGTTTGACAGTATTGGTTTCTGTTTAATTTAATTAGAAAAGAGTAGCTACATCCCTGAAATTTAACTTTTGTGGTTAATTTAGTGGTAACTGCCTTCGCGGCCGAACAGTTACCATACAGGACTGCCACGCAGAGGTCCCGGGTTCGATACCCAGGCCAGGAGAAATATTTGTATAGTATTGTATATACATTTGTTTATTTTTGTTATGCGTTTGAGTGTAATTTGTGGTTGTCTATGTGTGTGTCCATTGCACCCGCGACACAGGGTTCCCTTATGTTGAGTATTTTGTTGAGTTGAGTTGATTATTATTTATACCGCTGCTTTAAATACTAGCCAGGCTAGGCTACATAGGTATTTACATAACCTCGTAAATCTACACATTTCTAGGTTCTTTATTATCAATTTGTAGAATTTTGGTTGAAACATACTATTTATTTGAAATATACTGTTCCGTTTTTGTCCTTAAATAAAAGGAAATGGTGGTAATGGTACGCAAATTTCTACTTTTCGTTGTTCTGACCTCAAAGTTTTTGTAGGGAAATAAAGTTTTTTTATACTTGACTGTACCCTTCAAAATATACACAACTTCATTGACCTACCAATAACGTATAGATATAAATTAATTTAAAGAAAATAAAAAATACTTTATGACACGTTAAAAATGTTCAGTTTACAGAACCAGTCGAAATACCAAATATATCGATATTTACAGTCCAATCCTAGACGTTGCGAGCTACTTAGATAAATGTTAGCATTTTTTTATAAGTTCAAATAACAACATGTCTTTCACATATTACCAATGTCTGCCAATGTTACATTAATTTAATAATGGGAAGGCCAAATAACATCCCAAGTCACTTTTCCTTACGACTTTACCATTTACCTTGTAAGAAGTGACAATGTTAACGACATAATAATACCAATGATATTATATAGTAATGAGGATGCACACGATTGGAAAATACATATTCCAAGAATTCAAATTGCCATCACATTACATAAACCTTCTCCTTTATTCTGTTACACTGATCACGACATCATATGATAGGCCTCTCAATTAATATAAAAGCGGCTTTGAAATGTGAAATATTCTGTGAACACATGGTGATTGTTTACAGGAAATGAGCAGTCGTATTGTTTGCTTTCGGTTTATTGCTGTCAGTGACGACGACAGGGTTGAGGAACACCCGACACTTCTGATAAATATTTACTAAGATACTTATCTAGATATTATAACAATGCGCTGTTTTAAAACGACAACGCAGGTTGTACCATACGGCGTATAATATAAATTCTACTTTTTATAAACAGTAAATGAATATTGCTGCGTAATTATAATTAAAATTTGCGCTAACTAAAATACGTTTATTCATGTATGTTCATCAGAAATTACTTAATATCTAAAAGTAGTTCTTCTATGGCAGAAGGTACTACTCAATAATGTTGTAGGCAAGCAATAGCTAGATATATAACTATGTACTACTCTTAGCAATAGCTAGGTATATAACTATGTAGTGATACGTTTTTTTTATCATTAAGTAACTGGACGAACAAGTCGTGCACCTGATGGTATGCTCCACGAATGTCCAAAACAATTAGTGCCTCTCAGAGCTTTAAATCACAAAGATCTGAGGAGCACTGCCAATGCGCCCGTCACCCTGAGATCTAAGTTGACATATCCCATGTGCCTGTAATGTCACCAGCACCCTTACCCTTCAAAATCGGAATACAGTAATGCTAACATTCCTGCTTGGTGGCAGAAATAAGTAAGGTGGCAGTACTTCCCTGGACGAACGCTTTCACAAGGAGCTCCAGTGCTCCTATTGTTCTGCTGCTGGTATTATCGCATGCAATGAGCATTAAAAAAATGTTATTCCGAAATGTAACTGCATTACGTATTCTTGAAAAAAAACAGATAGCTGTCAACCACATTCAAAAAATTTGAAAATATTGACTCTAATAAGCTTATAAATATTTGAAATTTCACTTTTCGTAGAGCGTCATGTTCATTTATTTGAATTCGTCACATGAGCCTTCCGTTCTCACCAACTGAAAAGTAGATCATGTAAAACTGCTCTACTTCAAAAGAGTGTAATAGTAATGGCTACGAAGGTATATAACAAACTTCCACTTGAAATTAGGAATTGCAATGATTGTGCAGAATTTAAGAAATTATTATTTAATTACCTAAATTATAGGACACGATATAATATTGAATATTTCTTATAAAATTTACATTTAATATTATGAATTTGTTATTGATTATTATTTTACTAAAGTTATTATGTTTCATTAGAATTAGGTTGCATTAATTGGACTGCATGATTATAATAATATTACAAATTATTGCATGAGAATTACTAAAACTAAGAAAACTTTGTATGCCATAAGGCGGATCACTGTGATTCAAAATTCATTTTTGTAACAAATTGATAACCTGTGTATCACAAAGAAATAAATGATTTTATTTGATTTTATTTTATTTATTGTAAAGCACATCACACACATCCCTACATGAGTTAATTAGCATAAATCATTATGCACTAATGATATAAAATCTCGTGCAGACAGACTATCTTCACTAGGCACAACTAAGCCGCTGAAGTACATTCATATTTGAATATCTTAAAGGTAGCAAAATATTGTAGTCTTCAAGATGGCTTGTGGCAAAGTTCTTTTCTGTTTTGCGCTTCTGGTAAGAACTCACACTAAAATGCGATCGAAATTCCCCGTAGATAATCGAACCATACATTTCCACTATCTTTTTATTTACTATATTAATAATATTTTATGTGATTACTTTAACATGTGCTATCTACTTTTTTCAGGTAAATCTGAGCGTTATCTTAGCAGAAGAAGGTGCTGACAGTAAGAATCAAAACCCCTCACCTTCTGAACCGCAAAGGGAAGAACACGGATCATTGGATGAACGATTTATACCCTTTTTAACACCGTTTGCAAATATCTTCTCACAATTCGCCAACAGCACCGGCTTGCCTTTCTCTTCGTTCTTAAATTCTCGGTCACAAGGCATTGATATCGAAACCGACAACCAAACTGACAGCAATGAACATAGTGACAGATTCTTCTTCAGATTTCCTCGCTTCGTCGGATGCAATTACACAGAGAACGTAAGAATTGTATCTTGTTTCTTTATTGCTCAACGCATCGAAAGTATGGCCCGATTGTTCTGGCAGAAGTCTTTAGTAGCAGTACAGCTTCTTGTGAAAAAGTTCATCCAAGGAAGTACTGCCACCTTACCTATTACTGCTATTTGTGCCGTCAAACAGTAATGTGAGCATTACCGCGTTCCGGTTTTGCAGGGTAGGGTGCTGGTGAAATGCGCATGGGATTTTTCAACTTATGTCTCAGGGTGATGGGCGCAGAGGCAGTGCACCTCAGATCTTTGCGATTTAAAGCTCTGAGTGGCACTGCAACTGTTATGGACAGGCGTGTCGTTTACCATCAGGCGCATGACTTGCTCGTCCCATCACTTATTGTCATAAAAAAAATCCAATATCGTATTAATAGAATATTGGAGTAGCGTACAAAAATCGATTTAGATCTCACTTGCATTGTTTGCTTCTCAGACTTTCCTTAATTGAAATAAATAAGGATTCGGAACATTCAGTGACAGTTGTGAAAGAGTTCATCCAGATATTTCTTTTTTTAAATACCAAGTAACGGGACGAACAAGTCGTGCGTCTGGTGGTAAACTGCCATCTTACCCATTTCTGCTGCCAAGCAGTAATATGAACATTACTGCGTTCCGGTTTTGAAGGGTAAGTAAGGGTACTGGTGAAATAACAGGCACATGGGACCTTTCAACTTATCTCAGAATGTGACGGGCGCAGCGGCACTACAACTGAACTGGTGTGATGCTTGCCACCAGACACACGACGTTGCACTTGGTATCATAAAAAAAGACATTTCGCAAATGTAGGGTTCGATTCCCTATTCCATTATTGATCTTGGAGGTAATTTCGTAACGATATTGTGCACTTTATTAGTAACTTACTATTTTGGCTATTTGTTGGTTGATGTAATTTTCTAGCTCATTAATTAATTTATTATTTTTGCCCAGCCCGGTTTGGCCTGCTATAGCTGCCGCCAACGTGTAAACTGCCTGCGTAGCAACGTGGGTATTGTGACGAGGTGCAGCTTCTTCTTACCGTACTGCAGCGGCAACGGGACCTGCTCACAGACCCCGGGATCATTGTGTTAGATACACATGCTCCTTTATTATTGGTATATCCTCTATATTACCTATTTTATTTTATATAATATGAACTAAGTAGGTACTAAATTAAATATTTGATATCCAATTATACTATAAAAATCTCTATAATCATTGAAAATACATTAAGTTCTTAGGTTTGTACGATTGTTACACATAGAAAATGAAATTATTTTTATACATTTTTTCGCTAATATTTAGCTATAGCTAATTCTTAAGAACACATTAAAAATTATTAAACAAACTTGAACAAAAACAACAATATAAAATGCAGAGCAAAGAGAATATTTCTCCCGACCCGGGAATCGAACCTATTTCAAGTTAATCATGCGGTTTTTTTTTCAGACTGACCGAAGTCAACAGCGTCTTAAATCGATGTCATTTATGAAAACTATCGACCCTAGAAGCCAGTACGCGACATTTTTTCTTTTACTATTGATTGATTAACATAAATTGTTAACTTATAATGATCAACTTTAAAATAAAACAACAATTTTGGCACTGTTTTGTTTATTTACAATAATCACGACATAAAATTGAATACGTATCTGTATTATTAATATACTTCACATTAATAGAGAAAATCCTACTGGAGTAAAATGTTAAAAATTATTATCATTTTATGGTCACGCACATTGTCCAATTTATTGTCTAAACCTTTAATATTGCTGCGGAAAACCCACCGGGCGTTATCCGCCCAAAACATTTTAATGATATTAATCTAATAATTAGAGATGTTCATATTGATTGAATTTAAAAGCTGAAAGTCAAAATCGACTTTTAAAGAAATTTTACAATTTTATTTGTCAAACACAGCGTAAGTAACTCAGAACTATTCTAGTTAATTTAAGAGACCTTTAAATCGGTTTTTTTTCTGTTGACGCGTTATCACATTTAAAAGATAATGAAGCGCGAATAGAATGTTAATACTATTTAATATATAGGTAGCCATTTAAATTTCTTAGACGAATATTACATTAGCATATTTGTATTTTTTTTAATTCTAAGCACATAAGTATTTGCGATTGACAACATAATTTTTCCTACGACAATTCTTTTCGATCCGGCCAAACTTTTATAAAAATGAGATCACTTAACGGATAAACTTTCCTACTCTAATAAATAATAATTACATTAATTGAAATAAATATTTAATGAACTAAAATTATCTATCGTAGATTCACAACATTTAACATCGATATAAGAATTTATTATTATTATTTTTTTGAGATTATTGTCTACTTTCTTTTATGTTCCCCGAGTTCAAAAATTTAGTATATGAGAGTAGCCATTGGTCATCGTAAGTTAATCTGTGGACGATGTAGAGCACATTAATTTGATAAAGTGCAATACAAAAGTTCATTGGCGGCTAAGCAACTTGACGTCACCTAGCGGGCACTGACACAGCTACTGGTTCTTGCGCCGGCTTGGCAGACTGCTATTACGGTAGATCTTCCTCAGCAAAATGTTGTCTACGGCTGGAATCAACAGGTATCGCTTGCCGGACGTATGATGTGGAACTTTAAGGGAACGGAAGTAATAAAACTTTGGGACTTCTTTGGTATTCTGCCAGTGGTTTTGATCGATGTACTTGAGAGCAGGGACCGGAGGGGAAGGTATCGACGAGGTTTCAGAGGGGACGTCGTTGCTCAATGGTCGGTGGAGGATCCTCCCGGTCGGGTGCGAGTTAGGAGATACTGCCGACGGCGGTAGGTCGGCGTAGTCTGGATCGCCGTTTGCGTCAACTTCGGGACTAGTGAAATATTCCCTGTAGACAATCAGTAGGAATTTTTAAATTTTCGACAACACAAAATCATTCATAAAAAAAGTGGAAAATTTATGATTAACGAAAAAAGGTCCTAAATACAGCTAAAAGCTGCCTTATAATTTTAATAAATACCTTACTACTTATTATCTTATATTAATTGAAATATCTTTTTATTAAATTTCAACATCGAAATTACTTTTCTTGTTGTATTTTTTTTTCTTTTCAAATTAAGTTTTCCACTATATACTTTCCCCAATATACTTACAGCCTTGGCCAAAAGTATGGAGCACGCTAAGATTTAAAAATAGTAAAATGACAAAATTTATTACATTAACGTGCGTTAACAGAGAGAGCACATTACATGAGAGATTTAAACCTTTTAGATGGTGAAAAAATAATCCTATACCATTGTGCACATCTGGAATTGTTGTAAGCACCATGCTTCATACTGCCACCAGAAGAACGAAAGGCAAAAGCAGCAAATTCTAAATTTGTAGATAAATATGTTTAAATATTTTTAGGTTTTTCTGATAAAAAGAATAGTTAAAATATACATTTGATATTAGTAGTTTATTCATATTATAAATAAATACATACCACATATTTTATACAGAAACTTTCATTGTAGTTTAATCAGTCGTTTTTGAAAATGCCTTAATTCAGTAAATAAAAAATATAAAAATATTGTAACAGGACATAAACGGCGTAACTAATTTAAATGTGGCTTTTAATACTTGACTCATGAATAAAAAAAACTAAAGGGCACAGTTATATTCAGTTGCGCCTTTTTTGGGTTATGTATTACATTGTAATTGAACTACATAGTAAGGGCACAGTTCCGTACATTACTAAGTAAAATCCTTTGATATTAGTGTTTTTAACGTAATAAACGTCAAATATGACTTTTTATAATAAAAAATCTGATTATTAAAGTCAGTCATGCTCTTTGAGTTTGCTGTATATACAACAATTCCTGAGAATTTTTGTTTCTGTACCCAAATATGCATGTAACTCAATTTTGATAAAAATGTTAGTTGTGCTCTTTTTCGTTTCGAGGGCGCAATACTTGGCCAAGGCTGTACTTCAAAATTTATAACGTAAAATAAATTAAAATTTCTCTAAGTTAGGCAAATTGCATAGTTAAACAAGCTTCTCAAACTTTGTACTTTTGTCGGAAAAATAAATGATGAAGCCCCCGGAATGCACTAGTAATGGAAACAATACAGAGCTATCTTGCCGCTTTCTGCCACAGTCATGCTTGCTGCATCCGGCGCTCTACATAGCACACGCGTTTACATAACAACTTCGCAGAGCAATGTAGAACAATGTTATACCTACCCGTGTAGTAAGTAAAAGTATGCTGCGTCGTGAAACTTCAACGCAAATATTATATTTGGATATTATACAGAAGCAATATTATATTCAGTGCCAAATTAAGTGCCTTGGGTGCCCTAAGCAATTTAAATCCGTTCTACCTGTTTCCCTTCTCCTCCTTACCAAAAAACTATTACCAAAATAATGACATGAAAGAATACTTGCTTATTATATATAAGTTAATCCGGCACGGAATTATAATACCCCTATATAAACCATGTAAACCCTGTATAAACTTTACACATACCTAATTCCGAAATTCTCGTCAGAGGAATGCTTCCTGTAAAACAGAATGACAATGTTAGCTTGCTTATTTTACACTCCACTACATTTAAAAGCGAGTTCTAGAACATTCATTCAAATTCCAACAAAATGAACAGAGTAACTATGTACATACACCTACACATATATCTATAATTAGAAAACACGTTTATTATAATTAAAAAACACAACCTAATCAATAACACGTCTAATCTCTAATTATTCTAAATCCTCTATCGATTTAAACACCATGCGATATAAAACATCGCTATATTCTAACACAGAACTGTCGTCCAACAGTTTATTCACATGGCGTGGGAGAGACGTTACACAATTGACTAACGTTTAATCATGCCTCTAATTTTCAATATTTCTATGCGACGCCTATCTCAAAAGCACTATTTAAAGCACATGAAATTGCAACTAAACAATTGTTAACACAAACTATCTATCACATCGAATTGGTTAGAGGCGAATGTTACGAGACCTGTACATTTCTTGACTAGGCAATAAGAGTCTGGCCCTGCCAGACCTACTATAGCGTCCTCCTGAAAATCTGAATGAAGGTAGTAAACCTAACCGGGCAAGAGATCCAATGTGACGTTTCTCAAAATTTTCACGAACCTCGCTATCTTCATCTGCAACAAACGCCGCAATAGCCAATAATTACCTCGTTTTATTGAACAATTTTTAAAAACACAAGGCGCTGACTCACCTACAGAACGCTTATCGTCGGTTCCATACTCAATATTTTCAGGGTCATGAATATCATTATGGTCCATGACGTCAGGTAGCGACAAAATGTATCGCTTCGATCTAGGACTCGCCTCCACATAATTTGGTCTGAACAATCCGTGAACGGGCAAGCCTACAGAACCCCTCTTTAAATCCCAATAGGAATCCAAGTCAGCAGAAGTCAACCTGTCTTCGTCATAATCAGAATTGCGTTTGTATACTTGAGACAGAGGTGGAAACATGTCTGGGTTCACAGACTGTTGTAAATCATACAATTCATTGAAATCAAACGGACCATCAATTTCTGATAATGGCGGTATCGGATTTTGATAGAATGGATAGTAGTATTCGTCGTCGCCAGCAAAATCAGCCTTTTTGTGGATCTGTCCGTTGCGAGCTAAAGATTGGATATTTCGTTTCTCATTTTGCTGACTATATTGTCCTCTGCCGCCGCGATAACCGTCTCTTGCAAGTGCTTGAATATTTCTTTTCATTGCCGAGTAGCTACGAAGTCTTGCTATGGATGCTAAGTTTCGTTTTTGATGCGATGCTTCATCATCTTGTTCCTGTTTATCCGTTTCGTCGTAAGGGGACTTGAAAGTTGGCAGCTGGCCGTTCTTAGCAAGTGTCGAAATGCTTCTTTTGAAACCACCGACAGAGTTCTTGAGGTATCCATCTCTAGCCAATGCGGCTATGTTTCTGCGAGGAAAAGTTGGCCATTGATTGCCAGGATCCGTAGGCAGGCTGACCACCTTAGGGTAAGCAAAAGAATTATATTTAATTTTCACATAATAACACACAGCTATGCAAAATTATTCAAACAATTTTCAGAGATTGTCAGCAATGCCAAAATTAAAATTACCTATGATTCGTTTCACTAAAACAATGGAAAACAGTAGCAATTGATTCATTAATAGGGAATCCTTTGTACGCAACAATTTCCAATAGCCTACTGGGCGATTGTAATACGTTAGCCTTGTGGAAGAGAAAAGTCAATATGATTTTGGAGATTATTTAATTTAGTTTAGAAAGTAATTTAAATTTCCGAGTGATTGAAGATTACGTGTGTACTTATTCTCTTTTACAGTTTAATGAAGAGCATTTGCTTTCATTATTTCGGAATATTATTTACATATATCCACGTACAGAATATAATGAAGTCTTTAGTAAAGGCCTATTCAGGTGTAAGCGACATTCGCTACACTGTGGGTAGCGGAAAATGCCACGCGGTATCTCTCCAGGTATTTGTATGAACTTCCGCGACCAAAGCAAAACGAGTACCGCGCCATACCAACCAGGTCGTCGGTATCCTTTCGCTTGCTTTGCGAAATTGGTTTCGCCGGATAGCACGATACTCCGCACACTCCTCAAGTCGGTGACGATTACTTAACATAACGGAAGGTACCTACTCGTTTGCGATTATGACGTCGAACAGTGAAATGTCAGGTAATTGAGGTCACACGTTACATGTGGTCTTATTCACAGATAGCACAGAAGTGATTGTTTAGGCGGGAAAAAGAAATTTTAGAGATATCCGCTTAGGTTTGAACAGTAGAAATACCGCTTGCCCACTCGGGTTACGCTACCCGCATCGGCAGCGAATATGGTGTAGATCTGAATAGGCCTTTAGACTTTTTTCTCTTACCTGCTCGATGTAGGTAGAGAACGCTACAGCCAATGTGACGACGAGCAAAACGCGACTCCTGTGACGTCCATCGTTAATACGTGTCGAGTCTCTCATCTAAAGAAACATATTTTTGAACTATAGATGTAAGACACTTATGAGGCAACCTAAACAAATAGTAAAAAAATAAATGTACCAGGTTACAATTCCTTAAACAATCTAAAATGATTTAGTGGTGAAAAATATATATAAATAAAAAATCGTCGCCTTACTCAAACTCGTATCATAAAGCACAACGTTATTGAAATGCAAAAAATGGATTGTACATACAAATTTTGCAGGCTCATTTTACATCACATTTTCTTCATATTCACACATTGGCTTTTACCTACTCTTAAGTAATGCATCGAAATTAAAACACCCTTGACAAAAAATTTAAAATAAATAGAAAGTTTTGCCATCTCCTGAACTATCACCCTTTATAAGGTACGAGTTAAGTAAGGCATCGAAATGATAGCTACATTTGTGCCAGTACTAATTTTCATTTGATATTTTTTTAAATATTGCAAAGACTATTATACCAGACCAGATATTTCTAAGAAAAAAATCAACAAACAATTTTGCTAGTACAATACATTGATATCGTTGATTTACCTATACTAAAAAGTAGTTACATTTAACAGTATCTCATAAAAATCTAAAAGTTGTTTCAATATAAAGCGCATTATTTCAATGTGGAAATATCTTTTTCCTGGGTATGAATAATTGAACGTCGCAGCGAGGAATATACAGGTGACAGTTTCAATTATGCTTGAGCGTCATAGCATACACCTGAGCCTCGTGCCAAGTTAATGGGTTTTCATGTCCAACCACCCGAAACACACACTATCTAGGTTTTATTGAAAATTCTAGATATTCAAAAGCAAAGCAATTTATTGGCCTAGCGAAATAACTTGTTTTAATCAAATTAACTTCAAATGTTTAAGTCATATTAATGACCTCCTTATCACAACTAATGTAATCGACATTTTTAGCGTAGTTAAGTTATTAAAATCAGCGTAATTGACATTTTACAAATAAAAAAAAACTTTAGGTCCAGGTGCATCTCGAAAGTTACCAAAATGCAAATGGTTAATTATGACTTGGGGGGTAGATTTGAAATTATTATTTAACGTCCTTTTAAAAGAAATTTATACTTAAGTTTTAGTAAATATGATCACAAGCATACTACAAATATTTTAGTTGCATTCTCTTCTAAGAGTTCGTAATATTTCGGCACCTCTTCTAAAATGTTGCCAATTATATCAAATCAAACAAAAATTCCGCTTTAAGAGGCTTCGGGTAGCTATTTTAAGAACAACCTTGATCAATGTTGAAATGAACACATAAAAATGAAAGAAATTGAAAAGTAAAAAGAAGTCAATTTTTTTGTAAGCATTTTGATATATGTACTTATTGAGATTTTTTTTGTGAAATAACATCACTATTTTTGTTATAATTTTATGAACACGAATCTCGAATACACAGAAAAATTTTTTTCGTTTAACCTGGTGGGACTTAACCCACGTCCATGCTGCACCGTAGCATTGCTCTTTCCCAACTGAGTTACCGAGCCGTCGAAATTCTCCTATGTGTTTTTGTTATAGATCTTTGTACTACAGGTAACTTGAGCTTTGCAATAATGGGCGAAAATTGCAAAATTACTTATTTAATTACCGATGAAAGTTGATTTTGTTTGTTTTGTAATTGCTGTTTTTTTTTGTTAGAGATATTATCTTTATTACAATAAATACAGAATATTTTTGGAATATACGAAGACGTACACACAGGTCAGTTGTTGGCCTGTCCTTATCCAGTGCAAACAGGAGTTAATATTTATAAGTGATGTATCACTGATGAGTCACCAGGAATGTATGACCCTTATTTCGTCTCTATTTCTGGTTATATACTCGATGTTCATACATCTGTCTCATTCGACCATCGATCGACCATCGATCGGTAGTATGGTAACAATTGTCAATCGACGTTGACTCGTCTCATGTAACCATCGATCGATGGCATCGATCGCCTGTCGATCGATTGATGTGGTAACACCCTCATGCCGATTAGCAAATACTTTCACCACGATAGCAAGCATTACAATGAATGCCGTCGATACGATAAGAAACAGAATTTCGTATCTTTAGATTTAGCTGGCAAAACCCAAAGTACCGATGACATTCGAAAATGAAATAGAATTCGCTCCGACAGAGGGGTGACCTTCGCTTAAAAATGCTAAAAAATTTCTATCAAAGAAAGTGACTTCTTTGTAAAGCATTTTTTCGTATACGCACCCTTGTCCTTTACAACAAAGTACGTTACATTCTTGAAATAAAGTCTAACATTAACAATATTGATCAATATCCATATTGATTGAGCTCAGGTACTTACTTGTCCATTTATAAAAAAGGTCCTTGAACAATTGGCTACAATATTCAATAGACGTAATTACTATAACAACGTATTAATTACGACTACATTACTATTTCTATGATAGTACTGATAATATATTAATACTTAATAGACATTTATTTAATTGATATCAGAAGCACAAAGAAAAAAAACAGAAAATATGATGAGTTCTTAGATTTTCGCAATTGTTATACATTGAAATTGAAACTCTTTTTAACCGACGTTAAAAAATTTCCAATTAGATTTTTTTAATCTGTTTTTTTGTGTGTATTTTACGCTTTTACGGCTTCGTACTTCAGTATTGGTCCCATATATATATATATTCTTTATTGCACCAAAAAAAAACAAACAACAACAAACCATTTGAATTTGAAGAAAATATTCCACCTCTAAGGGTGGCAAATTAGGGGATGAATCCGGTTTCGCACACTTTCCGGTAACCGATTTTAATAAAACTTGGCAAACAGATGTAATTACACGGACTTTTGAAGTCGATTTTTTTACAAAAAATATTATTCCTAGATCGGGAACATCTTTTTTTGTAAAAAAAATCGAGTGTATTTGTTTCTTTTTCCCAGACAAATCAACGTTTCAGGATTTTTACAGATTCCATGGTCACGGTCGTTGATCGTGTTTGGACACGCAATTTAAAAAAAATTGTTTCATATAAGCCAGAAAATATAAATTAGACAACTATATTTTAGGTTGAGCAATTACATTACATAGATATTTATATACATTTAGTTTCATGTAAGTCAAAGGTGAAGCCGTGCGAGAGCCAACACTAGGCTAAAACTATTGTATGGCGAATCATCTCTATACAAAAGTAGCAGTAGAGCTCCTTGTGAAAGAGTTAAAAAAGAAAGGTAATATTATTATATTACCTAACTGAATATGAGACATACATTTCATTTTCCCAAATCCTCTTATCGAACCTCACAGTCACAAGTCACAATCAACTTTCCCGACGGGAAGTAACTTTGATTGATTTTTAGACGCTTTTCTGCCACATCGAACTTAAAGATCTGATAGCAAGTAAATTCAACGCAAAGTTAAAATTAAATTCTTGTCTTCACCATTCCAAAATTTGATTACTTACCTTGTTTCAGGAAACCTATGACATTTCATGTTGTATGTGGACGAATTGACATAGTAGAAGTTTAATACGAATTTATATGCATGGTCGATACTATCGCACACGAAACCAAATCCTGCCGTAACTCAAAATTGTAGAATTGAGAAAACACTACTGGAAAATTAAAAAAAAGTTAATGAAACCAATACACACATATATTCTCGTTTAAAAATGGATAATTCAGTATTATGAATAAATAAAGATAATTACATTATTCGCAATAAGATCCAACCTGTATTTTTTCCATACTTTGTTTTCTCAATTCCATAATTTTGAGTTACTTTTGATTTCATGTGCGATACCCTTATTTTTCTCACAATAATAAACCGAGTTCTTTTGTTTTATTTATATCTTACAAGCTGTGCGTAGCAAATGCTACGTCGCCGTGCCGCCCAAACAGAAAATGGCTACGCCACCGAATTCAGACTGTTACAGATAATGTATAAATTGTTTACTAAGTAAACACAATTAATTTAGTTTAATTGTAATAAAATTACAAAATCCATTTTCTCTAAGAGTGAAAGGCATCAAAAAAATAAGCAAGAAAAAATTACCCTCACTTTAGATTATAATAATATGGATTTATCAAAATTCCTTTTTTTTAAGAAATCATAATAAGGTGAATTTTATAGTTTTAATAAAATGTCTAACTGAATTTAATAATCACATCATCAGCTACGTCGCTTTTTATTGGTGTAATAAAATCATTGAAAATTATTATGTACAAACTACTAAAATATATCTTCAAAGTTTTACTGCTGACAACGCCGTCTCATCACCGCGAATTTTCGCCTACCAATTCCGCTAAATAACAATTAAATCATCAAGTTATTTTCAAAATATTAGTTCCATAAAGTTCTACTTACGATTATCCACTTTATTTCACTGCTACTGCACTTTGAAAACTTTTGCAAAGTTTGGAGCAACTTTTGCTCCCAGGTGTACTAGGGACTCTTCGTTCGTGCCGGCTAGGCAGGAATGACGGCTGTGGGGTAAATTAAACGCTTTTATATCAGCCTGTGGGATGCGCGCAGGCGTACGACAGCAGAATATGTGAATCCGTTATAATTGATAGGTCATAGGGCGATTTATATGCAACGGCGGAAAATTACTTAGCACGGACACGTACCCTTCAAAATTTTTATAAAAATTACCTGTTTTAAAAATAGGCTACAAAACAAATATTTATTATAAAAAGTATTGTACTATTTCGTAGGAGTACAATAACCACCTACTTTATAACTGTTCTAATGATGAATGTCACTTTTCCATACACATAAAACGATCCGTAAAATATATAAATAAAAGCTCGACGAAGGACGGTACCTACTTTATTGGCGTGCACTTAAAAGAGCTACGTTCAAAGGAAAAGCTTTCGAGCCATTAGTGTGAAATAAATTATAAAAACTCATACACGTAGATCTTTAAAAGTGTGTATTGTTCCTTTTTTTATAATTTAAAGTGACGGGATGAACGAGTCGTGCGCCTGATGGTAAGCTACACGCCTGTCCATAACAGTTGCAGTGCCATTCAGAGCTTTAAATCGCAAAGATCTGAGGAGCGTTGCCACTGCGCCCGTCACACTGAGACATAAGTTGACAAGTTTCATGTGCCTGTAATTTCACCAGCACCCTTACCCATCCAAACCGGAATGCAGTAACGCTAACATTTCGGAATGGGCGGCAAAAATAGATAAGGTGGCAGTACTTCTCTAGACGAACTCTTTCACAACGAGCTCTACTGCTGCAAGATTTCATTTTTTCTTAACATTTATTAGCACGGCTAATGAACGTTTTGATTTCATAGACCATATCCTAAAATAAAGGATACATAAGTAGTTATATTACCTACACTTTAGTTCGTAAAATATTTTTGTACCTGTTTTTTTGGTAGCATATCATAGTTATACCAAAATATTTATTACTAAAACGGACTTTCCTGAAATGAAAACGATGACCGCAACAAAGTCAGCATAACAAAAGTTGCAACGCAGTTTCAGTTCATTTAAGTTCATCCAAAGTTTCCCCCCGTAGGTGGAAGCATGGTCCATACCTCTAAATCAAAATTGCACAGAAATTTAATACCTATATGCCATTTTACGTAAGGGGTTATGGGACACCGGGAGTGATGCCAGATATTAGTTACAAATCAACATTGATTGGACGCATTGGGACCTGTCAAGGTTCTCCTCTTACGGGCTTCGAGTGATTTAAGCGTTTTTTTAAGGCTCAGATTACTTACTGGACCTTGGGAATGCCGGATTAATTGATAGAGTTATCGGTAGTCGTGGTGAATATGGACATACATGTTGGCTTTTACACACTGACACTAGATACGGTAGACCGTCGTAAGGTGTGAAACCTGAAGCCGCTGCTTTCAATGGGTTAATAATATAATATAATAACGCACACTCATAGCCTGCCTTACCTATTTCTGCCGCCAAGCAGTGATGTCAGCATTACTGTGTTCCGGTTTTGAAGGGTAAGGGTGCTGGTAAAATTACAGGCACATGGGACTTGTCATCTTATGTCTCAGAGTGACGAGCGCAGTGGCAGTGCCCCCCCAGATCTTTACGATTTAAAGCTCTGGGTGGCACTGTAACTGTTACGGACAGGCCTAGCTTACCATCAGGCGCACGACTTGCTCGTCCCGTAACTTAATATTATAAAAAAACCCCAGCACTAGGCAAACCCTGTATCGTGGGTGTCATGGACACACATAGACAACCACAAATTACATCCAAACTCAGGCCAGACAAATATTTCTCCTGGCCAGGAAATCGAACTCAGGATCTCTGCGTGGCAGTCCAGCACGGTAGCCTTTCGGCCACGGAGGCAGTTAAAACGGTTGTGCCGAGTATTCCCAACAACCCCCCTACCATCGCCAACAATAAAACTATACTTCACAGTTGTCCCATTTGGCAATGTGCCGGGACCGGAATTGGTGGAGACAACAACTTAGTGTTACATTTGTTAGTTGTGAATAATGTTCATTCCCTACATCGACCTACCAATTTAAGGTTCCTAACTAATTTGCAAGGCTCCTCAAATATATATTAATATATAATCTATTTGATATACTTTGTACGTTGTATATCTTGTATGTGTATTAATTTTAATTTAATGTAACTCCTTTACGATCGATTTTTTTTTAAACTAGTCATGAGATGCTTTCTTACGAGCGTCTTTTGCGAAAAGCTGTTACCCTAATTCGTCCCTTACTGTAGGTACCAAAATACGGCTTTTTAATGGCTGTAAAATATACGCCACGTATATTTTTATTTAACAACAATTTGAAAGAGATTGCTATCTAGCAAAAAGGCTGTCTGTTGTTTGTGTCTTTTATTTTTTGTGTTTGTTCTTGTAAAAGTATTTATTATTGTATAAGTCGTGGGCCAATAATCATTTTCAAGAACATTATAAATTGTTTTACTTATACTGTAATCTTCGAAAGTCTATACTATACATCTCTAGAAAATCCCAATTCTACTTTCGCATTGGTATCATATTGGTATATTCAAACTTTAGAGTGAAATGGTGATGTCACAAAATAGTGTACGCTGAAATAAAACTACAAAAAAATGTAAACTCGATTTATTATGTTTATAAAAATATATAAAATTCATACCGAATCTTTTAGTAAAACTTAGTCTAAATAAGGATATGTAACACCCATTACTTTTACACCATACTTAAAAATATTTTCGATCTATAACATAGTACACTTAATTCATAAAATAGTCAAAGACACATTTAGAGAAACGCTAGAAAAAAGTAGTATTGATTATGATAACAAAGTCATGTTCTTAGATTTTCCCGATTGTTACACACAGGAAATGAAACTATTTTTTCGGATATAAATCGTATTTTTTTTCAAACATACAGTCAGCTGTGACGTGACCCAGTAAAGGGTCCGAAACAGAAAAGACAAATATCCACGAATCAGATCCGAAAGCATAGTTTCATTTCCTATATGATAACAATGTTCGTATGTACTACTTGCCACATATAATAGTATACCCACAAACCAGTGAGTATACCAGACGTTTAAATGAAAACAAAAGATGATTGAAATAATTCTTGCTTCAAATTAAACGTCCTGCCCCGTTCATCAAAACGGTCTACATGTTCACGAGTTACATTTTCCAATAAAGTTTTTACAAGTTCATGGGAATTATGTTTATCAAAAAAATCTATAGGACCCGTAAACTGGAACGATATGGATTCATACTTGTAAGTTCTGAAACTAGAATTGTAGGTATTCTGCCATTTTCCTTTACCGCCACTTTTTTAATCCCTTAGCTCATTAAGTTCTACTAAATCGTATGGCTGAATGGTTGTCGTCGTTGCCTAATCTTAATGGGACATTAAAAAAACTAGCGACAACGTATTCCCGCCTTTTCTTTCAAATTTTTCACTCCACATGCTATAAAAGTACGTCAATGTAGCCTTACGTAGCGGGAAAAAGTGCGTCCTTTAATCCTTGGAAAAAAGTACCTCATTTTTTAATTTACTTCGAGTGAACAAACTCATACAGCCAGTAGTACGCTCGATTTTAGTTCAGTGCCTTTTCCGCATAAGACAGTGGCGCCATATTAATTTCTCGCGTTAGTGCGTTTGTGGTATCTATGTCTAGTTGAGAAAAAAAATACCTCGAAAACTTCAGAATTTTGGTTCGTAATTTTCTTGAAGACCCAAAACGATTGAAATTTTTTTTTCTCGCAAACGAAGTGAAAAATAGAGTTTTCGCCTCGAAACTAACAGCCAATATAAACCCTCGAATTAATAGACACCCTGACTTAAGCTCGATAAAAAATATACTATTTTGTGTTGTTCTTGGTTGCATAATTTTAATATTTCCTTTGCCACTTGAATCACTTGACCACATTTTAATAAAATAAAATCTAATTTTAAAAATGTATGCAGGATTATGCAAGACACTTGTCAAAATTTTAAGACGGAATTAATCGGCATTCCATGATTTTTTACGAGTTGTAAAATTTGATAAACAGGGCACAATGCTTTATATGAACATTGTTATCATAATTCAACCTTTGTTCTTCTTCATTCCTCTAAACAGTAGTGTATGACGGTAAATACTGCTTAGAGACTGGTCTCCTCCATAAATCTAAGGTCACTCAACTTGCTTTCAACCAAATCTATATCGTTGATTCTTTCTAAAGTTGTGACATCAGAAGGTTGGGTAACGTTTGAAACTGCTGTAGCCGCACTGTCATCTAAGGCCATTTCCACTGTACTCGCATTCACTGGTATATTCCATATGTGTTTAGATATCGTATTCACATTGTTTATATTAATCCTTAATATGTTTAATTCTTTATTACAATCCTGATTTTGTTTGTCGTTTATTTTGTTACTGTTGAAACATTTAAATGTTTTGTTGGAAAAAGTTGTAGTAATGTCGCTCATCTGGTTTAAAATATCTGAAACAACCGATACCTGGTGATAAATAAAAGTTCTTTTAAAAAACGAAGCTTTATAACTTTACAGGACAAATTTCTTTTATCGTGTAGAAGGTATTTTTTTTTTTTTTATACATGACAGGCAAATGACTCCACTCCACCTGATGTTAAGTGGAAAGTGGTATCCAAACGCGAAGGAACCTAGTGCAGCGATGAAACCCTCACTGCACTAGCCACCTCCACCCTGCCTGCCTACAATATGCCTCTTCACGCCTCAATGAAGGTATGTAAAATATGAATATATTTTAGAAATTAAACTATTTTTATTTGTTATAATTATTAATACAAAGATTGAACACTTACAAAAAATTCGTCTGGCGAGAGAAGCGTCTGGCACGGTTTGCTAGGAGACGTCGGTTCGAATCCGGCCGGATCGAAGGGATTTTTTCTAAATGTTCGATCTTTGTATTAATTATAACAAAATTCCATATGTTATACTCGTTTGTATCTTATAATATCTTCTCACTAAAAGTACCTTCGTTAGAATTATCTTCACATCACTAAATAAAGAA